TTTTTTCAGAAAAGACTGTTAATTTCTATAAATACAACCTTTACACAGCTCGTTTCTTTTCTTTAAGAACCCAATTTTTACTGAGTTGTGCTCCTTATATTTAGAACCCTATAAAATAGAACAAATAATCTTGAAATTGTAAAATTTCTATGAAAATAAGGACTTTGATTGGTTGTATCAGCGATGTTGCTATATACCGTACTTACCGCCGTATAAATCGCATAAGTCCACATATGTCTAATAAAGTGGAAAAAACAAATATGTTGCTTCACCGTATAAGTCGCATCTATTATGCGTCACCGCTGAAAACCCAGAAACGTGAGCCGGTGCTGTGCCAAAAATCTATTGGCTGCCAAATGGCGGCTGCGGGAGCGTGAACGGGAGGACTTTAACAAGAATTTAACAAGATTAACACTTAAAAACAATTATTTGTTTGCTCGAAATTATAGCAAAGGTGTGTCTCAGTTGAACTTTTCCTTAACAAATGCATTTGGACGGTCAAATCAGTTGAATTTCAAAAGCCAATTTGCGACTGCAGGAGTGCGCAGAGGGAGGACTTGCTGTGCATTTCTTCAAAATTTAACAAGATAACCACCTAAAAACAATTATTTGTTTGCTCTAAATTATAGCAAAGGTGAGTCTCAGTTGAACTTTTCCTTAATAAATGCACTTTAATGGTCAAATCGGCTGCATTTCGCCTGGGTGGCACGGGAAAATGCATCTAATTTGACGTTTGCTGCAGCAGTTCCGGAGAGAGATGAAGGTAGCTTGGTTTGGCAAGCCAAGTGTCTCATTAATAACCAATTTGACCTATTAACAAGACACTTGGCTTGCCATATTACTCGAACGCCCTCTAGTGGCTGAAAATGGTAGTGACGACAGACGACGCGTGTTGCACAATGCTGATGTACTTCAGTTCTTTAGCTTCATGTCGTCATTATGCAGTCAGCTAGAAATGGCTGGATAATAAAAGCAAGAGAGAGGCCGGCTTTATTTAATTATTTTTTAATCTGTCTGTTAATTAAAATTGCTGAGATTTTGACTTTTAAGGCAACAGAGTTGAAATTTGTGTTTTGCAGTGTTTGAACTTTCCTTTGGCATCAATCCCTCTTTAAGCTAAACGACGTCTATACGCCGTCGTGCTAGCATGTGAGAAACATCAGTGTCCTCTGTGCACCCAGACCAAGAGCAGAATGTGGCCTTATTACATCATGGTGTTATCTAAATGTGCAAATAGAAGTAGATGTAAAAAAACAAATTTACAAAGAAGAGTAGGAGAAACGCACATTCGTTATCGTCCAGGCCAGCATGAGGCCCGTGAGACTCATTTGCTCAGAGGAGCTGTGAAGAGTGGAAACACCTTTTGTACCAAAGTTTAAGCAGCTCAGTAAAGTCTAATTTGATTTTAACTGTTTGAGTATCCTGTAATTTTCACCTCCATCCTGTTGTTTTTACAGGGTCGTGATCTCTTTAAGTTCTAGTTTTTTTGTTTGTTTGTTTGTTTATTCGTGGGCAGCACGGTGGATCAGTTGGTCTCTCTCTCGCCTCTCAGCAAGAAGGTTGCTGGGTCAAATCCCAGTCAGGGACCTTTCTGGGTGGAGTTTTCAGGTTCTCTCCGTGCATGTGTGTTTTTTTTTTTCCAGGTACTCCAGTTTCCTCCCAAGACCAAAAACATGCATGTTAGACTGATTGGTGACTCTAAATTGTCCCTAGGTGTGAGTGAGAGACTGAATGGTTGTTTGTCTCGTTTGTCTCTATGTGTCCCTGTGATGGACTGGAGACCTTTCCAGGGTGTCCCCCGCCTCTCGCTCAGTGATAGCTGGACATGGGACCAGTGACCCCCATGACCTGAAAAGGCAGAAGCGTATAACAATAATGGATGGATGGTTTACATACGTGAAAAATGTTTTATTTGTTATGGTATGAATACAACTTTATTTATAAAGCACTTTACAGCAATTTGGCCAACGGTGTTGTTTTAAAGACTGAAGAGTAATAAAGTTTTATTTTGAAACTATAGTGCACACTTTACTGTCAACAGTTAGAGCGGCGTAGGTTCACAAGCAAATTATATGCAAACAATCATTTACATATATTTTAGTTGTATATTTGTAAGCAAATATAACAAAACAGATTTATTCACTAGTAGCTCTGGACTGCGGACTTTTTCTAAAATAAAAAAATTGAATTGTATAGTAAGTTTGAAAACCTCTAATCTATAGTGATGATGCTGTTGCAATTGTATCTCCAGTCTTTGTATACCATCTGCATATTTTGTACTACAGACTTTAATGACTGAGCACACTTTCTGTGGTTTGACCTTTGTCATTTATTCACCTTTATATTGGTTGTCCTTGGAGTCAGAATACATGTGGATCTGATTGAGAACTCAAACTCTACACTGCCAACTATGATGTGACCTCGGCAACTATGTTGTGACCTCGGCACTCACTCGTCACCTGAAGCAACTACAGCCTTATTAATGAAAAACTGTATGGGGAAATAACTCTGGACCACAAAATGAATTTGCATTGGACTGAAAACATGTTTATTTCCTATTTTAAAGTGATTGTTTGGATCTGTTAAAGTGGGGTTATGTAACAAGGTGCCAAATAAAAATCTTTACACTCGAAAGCACAAAAACAACATTTTGGATTAAGTTTTAAGATGGCAGCAGCCCATTTTGGTCTTGGTCACATTAATACAAGCTTTTAGATTGTCAATTCAATTAGAACTAAACCGAATGTCTACAGACTGGGGTCATGTAAAGAGTTGTCTACAACAGGTAAGATATTCGTTGTTCATAACCCTTCTACAAAACTAATCTTTCAAAGACCTAAATAATTCCTATAAGTTAGGCTTGACCGAAAAGGGTTTATAGGAATTGACCAGAAATGTGCAGGACAAATGGATGTCAGAAAGGGCCTTTTCCTCTGGTGGTGGTGGTGGGGGTGGGGGGTGGGGGGTGGGTTAGTATATTTTAAACAGCAGCACTTTGAAATGAACAGTTTCTTTCAGATTAAACATTTTGAATCAGTCCAGTATTCTCGTGATTTTCTGTATAAATGTTTTGACTGCTCATGTTTAATCACCTCCAAGCTTTGTCTGATCTATTAACTTTAAGTTGTACCGCAGTTGTAGTTCTTCGTAAACACAAAATGTTTGATCAATCTTGACAAAGGACTGTAAAATTGAAGAAGAAAATTTTGAGAAGAAACGTTTAATAGGAATCGCATTCATTTAATGCAGCTTAAGTATCTAATTTCACAGCTTTGGGTCTAACCAACATGGTCAACAGTGTGACCTCAAAACAATGAGAAAATACATTTTTCGATATATGAACCTCACTCAGCTTGCTGAATCTACCTCATGTTATAGACCTGAGTGGAAATGTTGAGTATAAAAAAGCCACGGGGCTAACAAACGCCAGGTGCATTTGGTTAAAGTGCATCTAAAGAAGCAGTTCAAGGGACTGACAATTTTTGGCACTTAAGGCAAATTTAGACTTGACATAAATGGCAATTATAGCACTTATGTTGATGTTAAATGGCAATATATCGCTAGAAATAGGATAATGTCACTGCAGTTTTAGTGCTGAACAGCAGAAGTCACTGCTGAGAAAATCATACCATTACACAGCAGGGACAGCACTAAAACAAATGAACAATAAATGCATTTTTCATACATAAATCCTACATTGTTCTTTCTGCTTTATTTGTATGCACTTTTGATGTTTTGATCATTTACTATATTTTCCTGGGTTTGTTCACTTGAACACGGAAACTAAACTGCTGGTAGACTTTTTCCTGCTGCACTTAGAAGCAAACTATTGTCCAACATGTATGTTATTCAAAAATAAATAAATAAATAAATAAAGAAATGAGAATGACCGTCATAATAACACACATACAACCCAGCGCAACAATCGTTTAGGAGCATTGTTAGAATAAACTTGACATAATGTAACTTGTTATATTATTATAACTTGTTCTATAATTTGTTTTTAATGTTTATTGCTACAGCGAAGCAATGCAAAATTAAGTGGAGTGTAAACCACTGTCTTTGAATTCAATAAAAAAAATACACTTAACAATACTTGTGTAGATGGGCACATGAAAGGAAGTATTTCAGCCATATTGTGTGTAGCTGTCAATTAAAAAAAGCAGCTGTGCATTTTGTGTTAACCTTTGACTCCATGTATATGTACAAAAGTCAAAATCCTCCTCTTTACACATCTGTGTTTTACCTGGTAGTAATCTGTGGACACTGATGAACTGCATTACTGTCGGACAAAAGACTAGATGATGGCAGAATGATCATTCTTGCAGACAAGGGTTTTAAATGTACAGGAATGTCAGAATCTTCCCCGACAACAAGGTGCCAACTGCATCTGGGTCAAATGCTTTGTTTGCATGTACAACTCAACCATCTCGTCGTGTTTTCTGTGACTGACTGCCCATTTACTTGTTGCTATAGTAACTGACATACTCCATTGCAGCTTTTACCTTAAATGCTATTGCTTAAGCCCTAGGATGTTTGCCATTTAAGAATCCTAATAAGCTTTCTCTTCAACTAATATTAGACTCGCACCTCAAACGTCAAACCCAAATGCTATATTGTAGGGGCACATGTGGTACATCCCTTAAATGAAGTCTAGAAGGTCAAGCAGATATGAATCCATTGTTCTCTTTCTTGAAGGGAGTGTGCATAAATGTCAACATGCATCAGTGTGCCTTAAACAAATGTCAATATGTCTAAATCCTACTCTCATGGTGTGAGTGAGAGTGCGAATAGTTGTTTGTCTCCATGTGGCCCTGTGATGGACTTGCAACCTGTCTAAGGTGTATCCCACCTCACGCACAGTGACTGTTGGAGATAGGCACCAGCTCCCCACGACCCAGAAAAGAGAGTGGGTAAAAGGGGATAGATGGATAGATGTTTCTTGACTGCTTCTATTGTATAATATTCAGTGTTTTTCTGTTTTGTCTTCCACAGGTAGGAATGGACTGGGCTGTGGAAACTCAAATCCAGTGAAGACAATCATTGAAGACATTCATCTTTAAGGGGAAGAAAACTGATATTTCTTGGAAACATACTAGAAGAAGCATATATTTAAACTGAGGTCAATATATTGGACTACTCCCTTTTTCCCCTATTCTAAAATTTCAGTAGAACTGCAACTTGGCTTCAAACCTTTACACCAGGAGGTAACTAGGAGTGATTAGTCATTGCATTTTAAGGACATCAACACACCAAGAGAAGCCCCCAGGGAACTCAGCGTGTTGGTGGTGGGTGTGGTGGTGAGTCAGTCACCTGTGCAGCTGTCGCAAATGATTCATTTTTTTGTGAAGTTACCAACTCTGATTTTTTAATCTACAAAGACCAATTTCAGGAGGAAATAGGTCCAATATGAAGGACGTGTCATTTGTGGATTGGCTCTTTGTCTGGTTGGCCATGAACTCTCTTGTGAGGGCCACCGGGGAGACATCCGACTGCCCAAAGCTCTGTGTATGTGAAATCAGACCATGGTTTTCTCCAAGTTCAGTGTACATGGAAGTGCTAACAGTTGACTGCAATGATTTGGGACTATTTAGTCTCCCAGAGAGATTACCACTGGGTACACAAGTATTGCTACTTCAAACAAACAACGTTGTTAAAATTGAAAAGCCTTTGGATTACCTGGCCAATATCACAGAGATTGATTTATCGCAAAACAATCTATCTTCCATCAGTGACATCCATTTGGGCAATCTCTCTCAGCTGGTATCCCTTCATATGGAGGAGAACTGGATACAGGAGCTACCTGAACAATGTCTGTCAGATGTGGCTAACCTTCAGGAGCTCTACATGAATCACAACCTCATATCTTTCATTTCTCCGTTGGCTTTCCATGGCCTCAGCAACCTTGTACGACTCCACCTCAATTCTAACAAGCTGAAGATAATTAAAAGAGAATGGTTTGACCCCATGCCAAATCTAGAGATTCTAATGATTGGCGAGAATCCTGTTCTTTCTATTGACGACATGAACTTTAAACCTCTTAGTAACCTTCGCAGTCTCGTTCTTACCAGAATGAACTTGTCTCAACTTCCTGACAATGCACTGGCTGGCCTCGACAACTTGGAGAGCATTTCATTCTATGATAATATTTTTGCTGAAGTGCCACATTCAGCTTTAAGAAATGTAAACAATCTGAAGTTTTTGGATCTAAATAAAAACCCAATTTCAAGAATACAGAGAGGGGATTTTGTTGATATGCTCCATCTGAAAGAACTGGGGATTAATAGCATGCCAGAGCTAGTTTCCATTGACAGCTTTGCTCTTAATAACCTCCCAGAGCTTACTAAAATTGAAGCTACCAACAATCCTAAACTCTCCTACATCCACCCTAATGCTTTCTCCAAACTACCACGCCTGGAAACGCTCATGTTAAATGGCAACGCTCTCACTGCCCTCCACAGGATAACTGTCGAATCACTCCCAAATCTCAGAGAGGTCAGCATGCACAGCAACCCCATTCGCTGTGACTGTGTAGTCCGCTGGATGAACATGAATAAAACCAACATTCGCTTCATGGAGCCTGATTCACTGTACTGTGTAGAACCTCCGGAATATGAAGGTCAACATGTTCGTCAGGTTCATTTCAGAGAGATGATGGAGATTTGTCTGCCCTTAATCTCACCCGAAAGCATGCCAGGGCATATTAAAGCAAAGAATGGGAGCTCTGTGTCACTCCATTGTCGGGCCTTTGCTGAACCAGAGCCTGACATCTACTGGATTACCCCATCTGGTAGCAGGGTCCTACCCAACACTATGTCTGACAAATTTTACATGCACCCAGAAGGAACATTTGACATCTACGATTTAACCGAAAACGAAGCTGGTGTTTATACATGCGTTGCTCATAATCTGGTTGGAGCTGACCTTAAATCCGTCTCAGTAGAGGTGAATGGATATTTTCCCCAACCTGCAAAAGGATCACTCAATCTTGTGGTTAAATCAGTGGGGGCAAACTCCATTCTGGTTTCCTGGAACGGTTCTACAGGCACATTGGCCCCCAACATTAAATGGTACTCCGTAACAGAAGTTAACCATCCCATCTCTGCATTCACTACCAGGGTTCCTTCAGATATCCAAGTCTACAACCTCACTCATCTCAACCCTGCCACTCAATACAGAGTATGTGTGGATATCTGCACCATCCACTACAACCGTGACACCAAATGTGTCAATGTCACCACTAAGGGATTAGATCTGGCAGCCAAGGACACAGAAAAATGGGATGCCGCTCTAATCACTGTCTTTGGAGCGCTCTTGGCTGTGATTTCTGTGGCCTGTCTGCTTTTTTATGCGTCTCTGAGGAACCACCACAATTATGGGAATATAAGGAAATGGGACTCCAAAGCTTTGCTTACACCAGTGGAAGCTACTGATCTGCACTCTTCTTTTTTCACAAACCTGTGGGAATCAGGTAAGGGGCTGCCAAGTGGAGTGGAAGTTAAAGCCACCGTCATAAATGTATCTGATAATGCCTTTTAGGGAGCCCAGCTGTGTAGAGCACCTCACATCAACTACAGTAAATGGACAAGGCCTTAAGCAGGGATGAACACAGTTGGACTGGTTTCAAAGGGCATAGCTGTGGCTGATCCCCAGCTCAGATAACACTGGAAAAATTATATTTTTTGGCAGTGATGGAACACTTAACTAGACTACATGTCATCCTGGCTGAAGTGGTGGCTTTGTAAACGTTATATTGAACCAAGCTTTCATAAACGGGAAGTCTTTACTGCAAAAATATACTCTAAAGTACCATTCATCCAGAGATGCAGGAAGAAAACCGAACACAAAGAAGAGGATGGAGGTCTGCTCTCTTGTAATTGACTGTTAAATGTGTTCAGAGTTGTGGAACTGTTCGTGTGGTCCCAAGCAATACCGTCTGTGCTTTGTCGAACATCCATAGACGAGTTAGAGAACCAATAACACCACCTGTCTATTACGGGGAAGGAGATTTAGTAGAGTAGACGAATAACAGTGACTATGGTGTAAGCCTTTTGATGAACTATATTCCCTTTTTCTATTTAAAGATGGATTCCTGATTTTTTTTCTTTTCTTTTGGAAATATTGTTATATTCTGTTGATGTAATGACAAATCCTCTGTACGTGAAAAGTTTAAATGGGTTTTAAATTGCGGAGAGAAGCAGACTAGTTTTGATTACAGCGTCACATTAAGCTTAATGAAATTCAGCTACAAAATGGATGTCTAGAGAGAAGATTTACCAACTGGCTCTTTATGCTTTGTAGTTCTCATTATAACGATGACTGGAGAAAAAGCAAAATATGGGATACATTTTACTAAAACTAATAGAAGAGGTTGATTAAAACTGAGGTAAGTGATGTGATATCTGTTCGAGAAGTGGTTTGTTATACTCTGGTAAGTGCCTACAACAAGAACTACACAAGGAAAGCAAGAAAAGGATCCGAGGAAAGTCGTCGGCCACAGCGAAACGTCATCACCGCAGAACCACAAGCTATACTCCCAACACGTTTAGTGGAAATACTTTCTCAGTATTTTTAGCATACATATTTTAAGAAAACATTTTGGTATTGCTTTGGGTGTAAAGTTAAAAGCCATTTTTATAACTGTATTATATGTGATCAATGGGCACAACAGACTAATCCAGAAAAGCGCTACGAAAAAAATAAATGTTTCTTTTACAATCATTGTCTACTTCTTTTTTGATACAATTGTATCTTTAGTATAAAGTTTCTCTAATTCAGTTGTAATAGTGCAAAAAAATATTAGTAATCATCAACTAAGATAAAATAACCTAATTGTTAAAAGGCAGGGGGATAAGTCAAGGGCCAAATGGTCAACCTAATCCTGAGAAAAAGAAAAAAACAGTAACAATAGAACCGAACGCCTCATTATGAACACGTCTGTCCTTCAGCTGGTCTGAATATCGACACTGTTGTAGCTGCTGCTGCTCGTGCTTAGACAGGGACACATCGTATCTTTAACACAGAGATAAAGTACAGCACAGAATGGGATAGAGCCGAGTCTGAGCTTCAGAACTCCCCTTTTTTTTGTCTCACTGAATTATCCAGCACGCCGAACATTTCACATGAGAAAGCAAAGCAAGATGAATGGCTGTCAGAGGCGGAGTGACATGGTGGATTTATCAAACAGGACCTAACACTCATACATCAGGCCAGCCTTCAACACCATGGACAGAAGCTTTTAGAGCCAAGCCATCTGTCAAAGACAAAGGGAGTTAAAATGTGACACGCAGCGCTCCTTAGGTAACGCTCAGGTCAAATTACAGCAGCCTCTTTTGCAAACACTAATATATATGCACAGAACACTGATGAAGATGAACATTCTTTGAAGGGAACACATTCAGAGATAATCAAGGGCATATTTTATTGTGTTCTTTTTAACCCAGCAGCAATTTCTGCATGGCTTATGATTTGATTCTATATGTGACTATAAGCTCAAGCTCATCCCAAGCACACATTTCCATCGGCGGTGTAGGCTCTTTCACTGAACAGTTCCACATTACAGCTGCAAAGAGACCCTGTTGAGGCTGCTTCTGGTGGTTCATGAATTACCAATCGAGCCACCTATGTTCTGCAAAGACTATGAAGGGAATAAAAGAGAGGCATGGTGTGTAACTCAGCCATGATGATGTGGAGCACTGCAGTTAAAATGTATGTCAAACATCTCAGACATACCAGACATACCAAATCTCACGGTTGGCTAGTTGCAGAGATTGTCACCATTGCATCACGCCATTGAGCTCGTTTCAGATGTGGTACTACCTCGCTCTGTAGCTTAGAGGCATGTCAGCCAATCTATACCTCCAACAGGAACTCGGAATTTAAAAATGGAACAAAACCAACTTTCCTGTCTGATTCCAATACTTTTTTGGTTTTGTCCTTTTTTAATTTAAAAAAAAAAAAAAAATGCACATCAAATTCATGTCTTAACTTTAATGGATTTACTTAGTGCTTACCTTTTATGTTCAAATATCCATTGTCCCCAACGCATTTAGCTGTATTCCGTTATTTTGTGTTTAAAACAGAAGTCATCACGATTGTGTAGGGTGAGTAAACAAAACTTGGGGCCCCACATCCCCGGTGTGCAAACGCTGGTTCCAAAGGTTCAGCATGGCAGCCACCGTGCGGCTTTAACTCTCAACAGAAAAAAGGCAGAATTTGTTTAGATATCTTTTGTGGACAAAGCTTTAAAAGGATTGTCCAGTCAATTTTGAAATGATGTTCTGGTTAATATACATTACCTTGTCAGTCATGTCAGTAGTCAAAGCACCGAGTAATGAGAGAGGTAAAATACCATATTTTCTGGCCTATAAGTCACATCAGTTCCAAAATGTCTAATAATTTGGAAAAATTCATAAATATGTTGCGTCGCCGTTTAAGTCACACCTATTATGCGTCACCTATTATGTGTCACTGCTGATGCGTCGCGTTTGTTACGCGGCAACGCTGAATACCCGGAAATATGGGCCAGTGTTGTGCCAAATGGCGGCCGCAGGAGTGTGCACAGGAGGACTTTAAGAATTTAACAAGATTAACACTTAAAAACAATCATTTGTTTACTCAAAATTATAGTAAAGGTGTGTCTCAGTCTAACTTTTTGACGGTCAAATCAGTTGCATTTTAAACGATGACACGTGGCTGTGGGAGCACACAGAGGGACGACTCACTGTGCATTTCTTCGAATTTTAACAAGATTTCGCCGGGGCAGCACAGAGAAATGAAGCTGATTTGACAGTTGCTCCAGGGATGATTCTGGAGCTGGACAAATGTGGCAGGCTTTGGCAAGCTGATTGTTTCATTAATAGCCACTTTTACCTATTACATGACAACGGCATACTATACTACTCAAGTGCCATCTAGCAGCTAGGCTAGGCTAATTCCAGTTTTTGCACTCCTTTCAACTTTATTCAGTAAAAATATGTTCTCTCCACTTCTGGGAATTCAAGTTTCCTTGTGCTTTTATAGCTAATTTTCAGCTGTTTTTGCTTATTTCAGCCCTTTTTTCCCCCCAAGGAGCAGGGAATGTGCAGCATGAAGCCATCTGGTTCCCCCTTTGATGTGGTCCCCCCTTGACTACTAAAGGAGGTCTTTCCTACTCTGGGTCCCTCTATTCTTGCTATTGTGAATAGCAGTTTATCCTCAGGTGTGGTGCCAAAAACTTTGAAACATGCTACTGTCCAGCCTCCTGAAAAAAACCTAACCTTGACCCCTCAGTCGTGTCCTCCTTCCGGCCTGTCTCCTTACTCCCATTCGCCTCTAAACTACTGGAAACAATAGTTGAGTCTCAGTTGAAGTGCTTCTTGGAGGATCACGCTATCCTAGAGTTATTCCAGTCTGGCTTCAAATCTCTCCACAGCACTGAAACTGCTCTACTGAAGGTTTTTAACGACATTTCCCTAGCCACGGATGCAGGTGATTCTGTGCTGCTTGTCCTATTGGACCTTACATCTGCTTTTGACACCATCGACCATGAGATCCTCATTTCTAGGCTAGAGCAGTGGGTGGGCATCACAGGGTCAGCCCTCAATTGGTTTAGGTCTTACCTCTCTGACAGGACCTTTTGTGTCAGTATCAAAGATTTCAGTTCAGCATCAGCAGCGCTTCAGTGGGGGGGTACCACAGGGGTCCATCCTTGGTCCCCTTCTCTTTTCTTTATACCTGCTGCCACTAGGTGCTATTTTCCGCAATCACAACATACCCTTTCATTTCTATGCTGATGACTGTCAAATTTACTTCCCCCTGAGGCACAGAGGCACACGCTTTATTCAACCTCTTCTGGACTGCCTGGCTGACATCCGGGACTGGATGGCTTTAAACCTCTTAAGTTTCAATGAGAAGAAGTCTGAAGTCATCTTGTTCCATCCCAATGGCATGTTCATGAACCACTACATTGACCTTTCCTCTTTAGCCCCGTTAGAGAAACAAAGCGTCACCAATTTGGGAGTGATAATGGACCCTTCCTTGAAACTTAACAGTCAAGTAAACATGATTTTTAAATCCTGTTTTTTTTTCAGCTGAGGCAGCTGTCTAAGCTGAAGCCCATACTGTCCAAAAATAATCTTGAGACAGTGATCCATGCATTCATAACATCCAGACTCGATTACTGCAATGCGCTTCTGTTTAGAATCAATCAGTCCTCCATTGCACGTCTGCAATTGGTCCAAAATGCTGGAGCCCGATTTTTAACTGGCACAGGCCATAGAGAGCACATTACTCCAGTTTTGGCCTCCCTGCACTGGCTACCCATTCACCTTTGGATCCAGTTCAAAATACTCATGTATGTTTTTAAATCCCTGAACAGTTCTGCCCCATCCTATCTCACTGATCTTCTATAGCCATATGTCCCACCACGCTCTCTGAGGTCAGCAGACCAGATGCTCCTTTCATTTCCATAAATCCGTCGTAAGCTCAGAGGTGACAGGGCTTTCTCTATTGCAGGTCCAAGACTGTGGAATGAGTTGCCACTGCGAGTCAGGCAGGCTTCCACACTCAAAGTCTTCAAGTTTCACCTGAAAACCCACTTGTAGTCCCTTGCCTTTGAAACGGTGTGATTTGTTTTGATCCTGACTGTAGTCTATAGTGTTGGCCATTTAGTTATTATCTGCTGCTTTTTGTATTTATATTTTATGTTTCCTGTCCGCTGTGCTTGTTTATTTCTATTGTACAGCACTTCGGTTGGCCTTGTTGCTGTTTTAAGTGCTCTATAAATAAATTGGTATAGTATGGGTATGGTAAAATGGTAGTGGTCAAAATTTTTAATGTCAGAATGAATGAAAATGGTCATATCTCAGTCAAAAATTGGTTTATAAATATGGAAAAAGAAAAAAAAGTTGCTTTGGCGTGTAATTCGCTGGGTATGCAAAGTAAACAAAAAGGTGCTACTTATAGGCCAGAAAATATACTACTTTGTCTAGGTTAGGTTAATGGCTAGCCAAACAAGTACCAGTTATGGCTAATTTTGATAAGTTATTAAAAAATAAAGGACTCAGGCTTATCCAGGATTTTATTTGGGCAAGATACACGGCAGATCTGGATAGTCTTCCAAGAAAAATCCAACTTAGTTTAGAGAGACACTTATATACCCCATTTTTATACAGTCCTGACAACAGTCAAGCACAGTTTACACAACACGTTTCACATACACATAAAAAGAAAGTGCCTTGGCCTGTGAACATCTTTTATTTACCTTTGTCTTGGTCACCATGGCCTAGCAGAGCACAGCCATTATTTCTGCTTCATTCACGGGTCCAAGTAACACTTAACACTTTCTAACCTTCATCTCTGAATAATCATTTAGCATTCTTAAAAAACAAACCACTTTTAGCAGGCATTTATTGGTCCTTCACAGTTTTAATTTGTTTTTCAGGCTTATGACATACTGATGCAAAAGAACTGTTCCTTTCGGCTTTTCCATTTTCAGGGGTCACTCAGTGTGTCATCCTCCGTTTCTGTCTTCTGCATCCTCGGTCTTCCATATCTTTTCTAACTGCATTATTATTATTATTATCTGCTTTATGTGAGTGTGTGTGAGGCATAGACTGTGCATATTCTGATGCATTCAGCAGCTTTGACACAACAGTCATATATCCACCTTATTCTTAGACCACATGGCGCCTTGCATGAATTATGGGCGCGACTTCCGGCACAGACCAAAACCGGCG